CGCTTCCAGCACCCGATCACTACATCCCATCGATGTTATGGATACACGAGCCTGCTCACTTCACTGTCTTTGAGAGGGTCTCACCTTTCTGGTGAAATCTGCCTTTGAAGATGTAATTCATGCCAAGTTTTGTTTAATAACGCACACAGACGTTCTTAGACTTTACAAAGTACTCAATATATGTCCTAAAAGGTATAAATTATGCAGACTGTGTTTCACGTCCCTCATTTTCAAGGTCTGAAAACTGCAGAGAGGATGTTCCAAACATTAAGGATGTTGCTCACAAATGCAGGAAACCGGTTTGCATTTACCCTTTGGTAATGGAAGGGGTGGGCACGACATTTCACTCAAAGCTGTAATTTAGCCGACCCGCTGCGCGACAGCAGTCGCATCATCTTGTACATTCAGCAGAGTTGCACGGAATCCACAGGGGCAGGACTCAAACCCCACATTAATCCAATCAAGCGCTGTAATGGAGTCAGGATGTAACGCTGCGCGGGGCAGGAACTCCCCGCCGGCTGGCGGCACCACCAACACACGCAGCTCAACCGGTGCTGCGCACCAGCGAGCTACTGGTACCACAAAGCCAAATGTGCGTTCAGACACCTAAACCCGAGTTTAATTTGCTCATCTTTCCCAATTATTGGACTTTCTCCCTTCCTGCAAGCTCTCCCAGCACCGCGCCGCCAATAATCAGTGGGAAGTCAAAACCAGTGTTGTGGTTTAACTCCGGCTAGCAAAACACCATGAAGCCACTCTCACAAATCCCCATCCCCTCCTCCAATGGAGGGGAAGAATCGGAGGAAAAAGAAATAAGGAAGCTCATAAAACTGAGATAAGAACTATTTACTAATTAAATCTAAATTAATATATACAAATCTTATTAAGAACAGGTAATTAAAACAGAAAATAAAACATATGATACAATACAATACAATTCCTCACCACCCACCGACGAACGCAGAACAAAATACTGAGTAGTGGGAGTCAGACCCAGAGAGCCCGAGAGCCGTAGCCTGAGCGCTGCTGCAGCAGATTCCAAGTGAACTCTGTCAGCGATAGCACGAGCGGGAAAACTAAACAAACCCACCAACTCCCTCACAAAGGAGCCAGCACAGGAGTTAGCAAAGCAGCTAATGCAGGAGTCAGGGAGAGGGTTAGCAAGTGTACAGGAGCAAAAGAGAGAGAGTAAGGGGGAGAGTAATGGCTCCTGGACTCCCTCCTCGCCTCTGCCCCAGCATGACGTACTATGGGATGAAATACCCCCTTGGTCAGTTGGGGTCAGGTGCCTGAGCTGTGTGTCCCTGCACTGCCTGTAGCCAGACAGCGAGAGCTGGGAACGCAGCTGCAGGGTCAGAAGCAGAGAAAGACCTTGAATCTGGTGCAGGCATTGCCCAACACCAGCTGAGAACTTACCAGTGCTGCTCTCTGCATCCAGGAACAGCTTCCTAGCAGCCACGGTAGAGAGAGTTAACTCTTTCCTGACTGAACCCAGCACAACAGGTCTCACCAATTCCCAGCCTCGTGGCTACTTTCCTCCCCAGCTATTTTAACGGGCCTGCAGCCACCACCACCTCTGCACAGCAGCTCGCTGTGAGTGCAACCCAAGAGTAGTACCTGCGTTCTGCACGCTCCTTCTTCTTCAAGACAACATCCAGATCTTGTAATTGCTCTTCCAATTTCTCACAGAGTAATTTCTGAGGGAAGGAAACACAGTTATTAGTTTCTTTCGTCACCCAGTATTTTCACATTCAACTAAAGTTGAGACGCTTCGTCAGATCTGCCTGGAAGAAAGGGCGAGCGCCGTGTTGCGCTGGAGGCTCCTCCTTGATGAACAAGGCTTTACAAAGACTCCCCAAACCACATGTGCTTCACCGTCAACTGCTGGAGCCGCCTCCTCCCGGTAACTGGAGTTTACTGCGGGCAGTAAACAGGCGGCAGCGTGCCTGAGGCAAGGAATAAAGGCGTTGAGAAGAAACCTATTTCTGCGTCAGTACCACGTTCTTGCTGCTATCTCCACTCCGGCGTGGAGAAATCCCAGGATTTCACAGACCTATGTCACACACACACAGAAAGCTGAGCACGCGCGCGCAGCGGGAGCTCTTTGTCCCTTATCCTAATCTTCGGGGAACACCTGAGTCTGGACACTGCAGCAAACAGCAGGGATACACCCCAGGATCATTTTTCTGCCCAAGGTTTCATATAATACACAAGGAGCCACACGTAAAAAAGACATTTTGCGGACAAACCGTGCCTTATTCCGTATCAACACCCTCACGATCTTCACGCTTCTACAAACATCTCATTTTTCATATTAGAAATGACTAAACAGCAACAGAGCAGGGGGATGCTCTAACTCCGAGCTGCAATCCCAAACAGCGTAATGAAAACATTCCTACGTATTCCAGACCATCACTGCTTAAAAATACCCCTTGGAGGACACTTAAAAACCGAGGCTCAATGCAGCCGCGGCATGTCACGTCCAGCGTGGGGAGCTTTTTGCCTTTGGGGAAAGGGCTCCTCCTCCTCCTTTGGTGGAGGAACAGCACTTCAGAAACAGCTCCTTGCTTTGGCCACATCCCTCGCTGCCTATGCTTCCCCCTCTGGGACGATAATACTCTTTTGGGAAAAATTAAGATATATTTTTAACACCATGTTAGCCTTGAGGTAATTTAACCGAAGATGGAAGGAGACTGGTGAGGGTGGAGATTCCCATCAGCAACACAGTTATCCCTCAATAGCAGAAAAAAGAAAGGGAAAGGAAAACCACCTCACAAAACTCATCGTGATGAGTTTTACTCAGTGCCAAGAGGGAAGATCAGCATCCCCACTGTTCACCCCAGCCTATTTTTTAACTGGAAAAAAAAAAAAGAGCTTGTTAAACTCCCAGAAAATCACCGCCCCCGGCAAAGCTGGCAAGGGAAGTCCAAGAGGAACCATACGTGCTGGCAAGGCGGGCAGAACCACTCTCCGTCGGGGATTATCATCAAAGGAGGGCGAAGGCAGGCTGTGTGGTACCCGCTGTCACAGGAGTCGCACAACAAAATCTGTGGAAACAAAGTGAGTCATGAGCATCTTCTGGCATCCACGACGCACAAGCAGCTCCAGAAGCACTTTATAAATACACTGGACTGTGCCAAACCCCCCAGAAATCCTGTCCCGCTTATCACTATGTGTTTCCAAGGCCAGGGGTGGTTTTTATGGGGAAGTTCATGGATGACAGTTTTCTATTTTAACACCAGATTTCCTCTTACGACGCATTCTCAGGCCCCTTAGTGCTACTGGACGACGCAGATCGCCTGCCCATCGCGTCGAATCCGCTCATCCTTTCCAGATCCCAGAGTGAGTGGAAAACTTCATCTGGGCAAAGCGCGGTGCGAACCATTTCCCCTGTGCGCTCGCATCCCCAGGCAGCAGCCCCGGCTCTTTCCTCAGTCAGGGTGATTTCGTGCCCCGGGTGGTGCAGACAAAGCCTTGCAGACTCTCCAGGTTACACAGAACTAGGCAACCAGTAGAGTTCACACTCAGGTGGGCACAGCCCAAGACACCCCTCTGCATTAAAATTAACGACCAAAGCTGGCCTAAGCCGTGTGTCTATTGGAATATTTATCTCCAACATCCTAAAGTTCAAACCCCGTCTCAACTGTGCTGGGTGACCTGCCACACGCCCGAGAGTACGCTTGTTGTGTGGCTCCGCAGCAGGGCCGCCCGGTATGACTTCCCAGATAAACGGAGGAATTCATGACAATACCTACAGCTGATGAACCAGAAGCATAAACCTTGGAAGGAGTGAAAGCTCACCGCCTGCCTTCTGCATGGGGCTCTGCTGGAGCCAGCCCTTCGGGTGATGTTGTGGATGCCTCATCCCTGGAAGTGTCCAAGGCCAGGCTGGATGAGGCTTGGAGCAACCTGGTCCATGGAAGGTGTCTCTGCCCATGGCAGGGGGGTTGGAACTAGATAATCTTTAAGGTCCTTTCCAACCCAAACCATTCTGTGATTCTATGTATCCAATGAGGATGACTGCCACCGTGTCACAGGACACGAGCGCACACACTGCGTGTCTGGTTCTGGGTTTTTAATGTTGTCTCTTCTGTATTCACTGAGACCGTAGGCACGACCTCAAAGCCTCACCCAGATCAAGTCTCAACAGGCGAAACTGCCTTTTACAGACTCACAGGGTCACAAAGGTTGGAAAAGACCTGTAAGATCATCCGGTCCAACCACCAACCCAACACCACCACACCCAACAGACCATGTCCTCAAGCACCTTGTCTACAATCTCCTTGAACACCTCCAGGGATGGTGACTCCACCACTTCCCTGAGCAGCCCGTTCCAGTGCCTGACCACTCTCTCAGTGAAGAAGTTTTTACTAGTATCTACTCTAAAAATCCCCTGACACAATCTGAGGCCATTGCCTCTTGTCCTGTCACCAGTTACCCAGGAGAACAGACCAGCTCCCGCCTCTCTGCACCCTCCTTTCAGGGAGCTGTAGGGAGCGATCAGGTCTCCCCTCAGCCTCCTCTTCTCCAGGCTGAACACCCCCAGCTCCCTCAGCTGCTCCTGATGAGATTCGTTCTCCAGACCCTTCACCAGCTTCGCTGCCCGTCTCTGGACACGCTCCAGCATCTCTATGTCCTTTGTGTAGTGAGGGGCCCAAAACTGAACACAGGACTCGAGGTGCGGCCTCACCAGTGCCCAGTACAGAGGCACAATCACTGCCCTGCTCCTGCTGGCCACACTGCTCCTGATACAGGCCAGGATGCCATTTGCCTTCTTGGCACCCTGGGCACGTGAGGGCTCATATTCAGCTGCCATTGACCAACACCCCCAGGTCCTTTTCTGCCTGACACTTTCCAGGCCCTCGTCCCCAAGCCCGGAGCACTGTCTCATAGAAGATGACTTCCTTTCCTCCTCACTGACCTCACCTACTCCCACACACCGCCAGCTCAAAGGGTGATCTCCCTCCCGACACCAAAGCCAACCCTCCAAACCTGACACGACAGCCACCCGGATCCTACCAGCTCAGGGTGATTGGGAAGGCCACACTTCTTGCACGGCTCATCGTCATCAGCAGGTGCAGCTTCTTCTTCCTCCTCTTCTTCCTCTCCTTCCTCCTCCTCAGAGTTTTTTTCACTCTCCGAGTCCTCACTTTCTTCGTTACTTGAGTATTTCCACCTGCCACGTGTTCGCGTACCCGTCCACCGCACTTTGCTTCTCTGTGAGACACACCAGTGCAGAGAGAAAACACAAAGGGAGATTTACAGAGCTTCGTCCCAGACCTTAAAAAACCCACTTTTCTCTACAGTGAAGCAATTCCTTTCAACAAAGAGATAAACCTTCCAAGAACCCCAAGGTGCCACAGGATAGTCAATGGAGAAATTCCTGTCTACCGGCAGAAAAAGTTTCAAATGCGATTTAAAAACAGGAAGAAAATTTGTTTCTCGGCCCCTTTTTTTCCTACTCTGACAAGATAACCTTGGTGAATTCCACATTTAAACTTTCTGAATCCAAAAGGAATCTTTTCTTCCCCCTGCCATGTGCAGCTGGTGCCTTATTTCACTTCAGGACACAGGCTGGCACTCTGAGAAGCAGATGACCCTCAGCATTTCTGGTGCTTTCCTCCAGGATTTTCCTCCACCTGCCTGAAATAAAATCGCAGCACCTTTTAAGCACACAACTTAGAGCTTGGTGGTCTTTCACGTTTCTACTTTTCCACCATTTTTCCGAAGTGAAACCGATTCTGTTGATGCTTCTTTTTGCTGACCACAGGGGCACCCACCGCCCTCTCTCGTTTCTCGGTTAGTTAAGCGAGCGTGTGTCTGCCCGTGCCTTTACCAGGCCGTCCCACCCTCTCATTTCATGCAGTGGAAAAGGACATTTCTCGTTCTCTAGGTGTGCTGAGTGTTACTAACAATTTCTGTAAACGTATTTTGAGTGAAAACCAGATTTCAGTCCCAATTCAGAGTATTATTCTGTACTGAAACTACTTTCTGCACCCAGGATATTTTCCATTTAAAGCAACGTAGGAAACAGAACAAACTTTCCCTCCCATTAACTGACTTGTTTCTGGCAGATGTTATTCCCAACTCCTTCCCTCCCCAGGCTTCGAAAATGGAAAATAACTTTTCTTGCTTTTTCAACTCAAAACACACTTCAGTTTTGACTCAACGCCTCACTGACCCGAATGAGCTGAAAAAGCTAAAATGTACAAAACACTCCTTTTCTCCCGCAGGCCAGACTCACACCGAGCAGCACCTGTCGTTCTGGTAACATTTTGCTGCAGGTTTTCAACGCGCATTTCCAGCTCTTTCCTGGTTTTGCTGTTCGCTCAACAGAAGCAGCAAAGGGACTTTAAATCCGTAACGGCGTCACCTCAATTAGGCTTCATCGTATCACACAAGCATTTCAAATCTACTTTTTAAAAACTCTTTGTCAAAAGAAAACAAACATAAACCAGCCTATTGAAGATCTGGGTATTTTTCACCTTGGTAAAATGGCAGAAACTTACTTGTTTCAAACTTCCTCAATCGCATTTATTTTTAAAGTCTCTTTAGAAAAGTATTTTTCCGTTTCTGTATCTTTCAAAAAAAGAAATCAAGTTAAAACTTCTTCAGCAACAGTACTTCAAAACTGAAACCACCTGCAGGACTTAGGATCGCTAAGATTGTAATTTATTTTATAATTGAAAATGTTAAAATTAGTCTTTAAAGTGACTTTTTTTTTTCCATTATGTATGTGACAGAATTTTTCAGCACAAATGTTGTCGTTCACTGTAAAATCAGCTGTTCCTTCTGAAGGTTATCCAACACAGCAGCATGAGAAGCTGTGGATGCCCCATCCCTGGAAGTGTCCAAGGCCAGGCTGGATGAGGCTTGGAGCAACCTGGTCTAGTGGAAGGTGTCCCTGCCCATGGCAGGGGGTGGGACTGGATGGTTTTTAAGGTCCCTTCCAACCCAAACCATTCCATGATCCTCAACATCCCTACGCCAGCGTACACTCTCCCTACGGAGAAGGCCGTGGAGAGCCTTTACTCCCGGGTAATCAAACCGTATTACCTTGTTCACCTTCGAGTTTGACTCCTTCTCTTGCTTTTTCGCATCTTCTTTTCGTTCCGGTTTTTGCGCTGCTGCAGGTTTCTCCTCCTCCTCCTCAGGTCGTTTTTTGTCAGATTTCTGATCCCGAGTCTCCACAACTTTCGGAGTCGGCTTGGATATTCTCGGAGATCGCCTTAATGTGCGGCCAGCGCTGACGTCTTCCGGTGGCGTTTCCGCCTTCCTCTTCCGGCTGGAGATCCTGATTGTTAATTTAATCCCTTCCTTCTGTCTTTCAGACGTTATTTCTTTGTTATCTGTTGCGCAGCTTTCTTCTTCAGAAACCAGCTTATATTTAAATTTGCTTTTAGGTGGGGGAGATTCCTTTTTGCTTTCGGAGGCGTCCTCGAGGTGAGAGGCGTGGGCGTCGCCTAATCTATCCGTCTCTGCTTTGGCGGCTTCCGGCTCTTCCTCTTGCTGTTCAGGGCTGGATTTTGACGCTACGTTGCTCTCCTCAGGGAGCGGCGTTTTATTGTCGGAGCCCTCCTTTTCCAAAACGGGCTTCTCCAAAGTAATGGGAGAAGAGGAGGGCGGGGGCACCTCAGCAGCTTTTGGAGACTCCGGCTTCTCCTCAGACTCGCCTTCACTTTTCAACGTCTCTCCATCAGGCAGCGCAGGCGTGGGCAGCTCTGTGGGAGCCGAAGGATTCGGGGGCTTCCCTAAACATTCTTTGGGTGGCGAGAGTCTGTCCGTTTTGACTCTCACGCCCGGTTTCTCTTCCATTGCTTTGGCACAGTCCTCGGCGCTGGCAGACGCTTCTGCCCCCGTTTCGGCGCTCGTGCTGTCAAGGGGCTCTTTTTCCACAGGACCGGATTCCTCCTTCGAAGGCACTTTCTGATTAGAAACCTCGGAAACCGCAGCCCCCGTTTCCTTCACCGCAGTTCCCACCTTTTTCTCAACCTCGCACGTTTTTATCATTTTACTAACAGCCTCTGACACCTTCTCCCCGCTTTTTCCGTTCCTCTCCTTCAACGAGCCGCTCTCTTCCTTCGGGCCAGCGGAGTGTTCGGACCTGCTGTTGTGTATGACGCTTGGGGTCACTCTCTCACAGCTAACCTCCCCGTTTACTAGCACTTTCCCATCAGGACACAAAGCGGTAATCGTGGGGACTCTCTTAAAAGCTTCTTCCTCCGGTTTCCCTTCCTCCTTCAACACCTCCTTGGTGGGAGTCACACACTTACACAGGGGCCCCTTGATGGGGCTGTCGTAGTCGTCCGTCAGCTTGATCTCTCGCTTCTTCAGCGGTATTTTGGCCTGCTGGTCGTTTTTGAGCTTCTCACTTTCTTCCACAGATTTCTCTACAATTTCTTGGGGAGTTTTGACATTAACACAAAATTCTAACCTCTCCGGCTCATGCACTGCTATCTTGTCTGTACAACTTTTTACTTCTTTTAAGTCTTTTGCTTCTATTTTGTTGTCCTTCACCTCCACCTTCACAGGCTTGACGTTCTCCTTAAAGGAATCGCTTTCTTCTTTGACAGTTGGCTTTTCTTCGCTGTATTCTGAAGGTTTCTCTAATTTGACTATTACTGGCAGCTTTATAATTTCTTTTTCTTCCACTTTCTCAATTTTCAGCGTATTTTCATCCTCTTTGACCACCGGAAGAGGAAGGCTTTCCGCTTCCACTGATTCTTCCTCCACCTCCTCTTTTTTTTCTTTGATTTTTAACGAATTTTCTGTTGACAGAAGAAAACAACTATGAGACAAGCGGGGGACACAAACAGCATCCATCAAAACAAAGGCACATCTGAAAAACCCAGCCCCCCGCGGCCCCCCGCGAATGAGCCTTCTCTCACGGAGTCACTAGGAGCCTGGCTTGTTCACGCCATCCTTAGAGTGCGTTGCCAATTTTTCGCTATGGAATCGCAGTTCGGTGTAATTCCATACCAAGATAAACCTCCGTTTCGGAAGCTAGCAGCAGAATTTTAGTTTTACCCTTCTTTACACAGACATCTCAGCCCCTTCTCCACAGGTACCACAATACTTTCGGAGGACACGTAAAACCTAAGCAGAGAGCGCACGATGCATCGACTTCAAGCCCGACTCGAGTTCCTGAATCCCTTCAAACCGGAACCAGGCTCCAGGGTCTCCAAGTGAAATTCCACACAGAAATCAGCCCCCTGTTTGTACACAGTTTAATTTCCAGAAATAATTCACTGTTGAAATGCAACAGCTGGAGAAAGGAGGCGGCCTTCAACATTATAGCGTGTCTCGGAATTCACCTGGATTCTCCGGCCAACGCCTCCATCCCCAGCGTCCTATCCAAATGCAAGGAACAGACAGTATTCCACGTTCGCCTCATCTGCCACTTCTAAACGAGCGCAGTGAGGAGCGTGTACCAGAAAAACCTGCAGCACCTAAAGAATTAGGTTATGCCTACCCTGCAGAGTCAACCCGAGATCGTCAGGGCTTAAAGCACACTGCCAGCATTCAGAAGGAACCACACGCCCAATCCGTTACCGTGCGCTGAAGCCTATTATTTATCACTACCACAGCCTCTTAGTACCTCAGCTTTTTTAATTTTACCCTAATTTTGAGTCAGCTAGGGACAGGAAGGTATCAGGTATCAGGAAGAATTTCTTCCCGGAGAGGGTGGGGAGGCACTGGCACAGGTTGCCCAGAGAAGCTGTGGATGCCCCATCCCTGGAAGTGTCCAAGGCCAGGCTGGATGAGGCTTGGAGCAACCTGGTCTAGTGGAAGGTGTCCCTGCCCATGGCAGGGGGGTTGGAACTAGATGGTCTTTAAGGTCCCTTCCAACCCAAACCATTCTGTGATTCTATGATTCTATGACAGAACTAATTAGAAAAAGCAAATATAATAGCACCACGTGTACCGTAACAATATCTTCCGCCACCTGGGAGACGTTACGGCGAGCATGCCATAACTCCCAACAAAAAGAGGGTTATTTTCCTCCTGTCTTAATCCCTTCTCCCTACACACCAGTGTAATTCTTCTCCAAGGTGAGAGCTTCCTGAAGTGGTTAGAAACATACAGGGGAAAGTATGGCAGTTAACTTAGTTACGCTAAAGAAAATAAGCATTTTCAGAAGAGAGTGGCGGTGAGGAACGCACAGATTTCACAGTGTTTGCAAACACAGAACGAGCGTCCGAGTAAGCCCCAGCAATCAGCACGGCAGGGACAGACGCATCTCCAAGGCACCAGAAGCCACAACACACTGAGGGCTCAGGGCTGGTTTTTCCCCTTCACGCCCGAGGTCCCCACTGCTCCCAACTTGGAGCCCTTGGAACAAAAGCTGCCTCCTTTGGGGAAGGTGTTCCAACCCCATGGCAGGGGGTTGGAACTAGATGGTCCTTACGGTCCCTTCCAACCCAAACCGTGCTGTAATTCTCTGCTGGACGGTGAGAATGAGATACTTGCTCTGTCTCTGTCGTCTTCCACCCTCCCTTCGCTCCTGTCCGTCTGAACGACGTTCTACCATTCCCTGCCATCCCCTGCCGTGTTCTCCCAACCCTCCAACACCAGGGATATCAGCAGAATTCCCAAACTCCTCCGCACGGAAAAGCAGGAGTCATTCTGCAGCTGAACTCCCTGAACGGCTCGTGACGCCTTTCGTACACCCAGAGCGAGTCGGCCGACACGCACGTCGCCGTAACGCCTCGAGTCCATCCATCCGGCCGGTAAAACACGGCGTTGGGTCAGTTTACCTCCTTCTGGCACGCGCTAACTGAACAGCTCGGGACGCGGCCTGAGCAAACAGGCGTCGGGTCTCTCGCTGCACCTCCGAAGGGCTCCGAGCGCGGAAGCAGCCACACTAAAGCCTCTCGACGGGGACGTAGCGCTCCGCGAGCACGCTGACTGCCCACGGGGATGGTTTCACCGTTCCCTCCGCACGCGGAATCGGTGCCTAGGAGCGATTCCGCACCGGTACGCAGCCTGACGCGGGCGCTGACCCAGGTGAGCGTGCCAAAGGACTTGGGGACTTATCTACGGGGGGAACCACTGGTTGTAAAGGTTTTCCAATGGCTCCTCCTGAATCCAACGCAGAATCTATCTGAAGCAGCGATCTCAATTAGATGACTTAAGAACAATTTCGAGTGAGATAAAGGCAAGATGAGAACTCAGAAGAAAGAGCTGTCAGTAACCCCGCAGGTCACGTCGTGACTTCTGCACGCAGGCAGACACTGGAAATGCCTTCGACGGCGAGACCCTCCTGCCCGTGTTTGTCACCGCTCGCTGCCATCTCGACACTGCTCCTCCACAACTCAAATCCCATCTGTTTTATCCATTTCTGCTGCTCTACACTGCTTGTTGCAAAGAATAACAATAAAAGAGCAAGCCTCTCTCTTTGGCATCGGAGCCACGACAGACCTTGCCTAATTCCATATATTAAACAAACGGGTGAGAAGAAACACGTATGAACACAGCGGAACCCTTAAATCTCAACCCTGATTGTGAAAATCTTCTGTATTTTAACAGAATGATAATACCAGGTAGTAACTGGGGTAAAATGACTTGTGATAACAAGCTTTTTGCTTTCCACAACCTAAAAAAAGCTCAGATTCTCATAACACAAAATACTTCAGGCTGATACCCACACTTAGCAAAGCGAATGCACAGACAAACAGGTCGGGTAAGTTGTTAAATATGTGCAATGACATGAAAAAAAAAAGGTTCTTTGTTAACAAGAACAGTGGAGGCAGCTCAGAATCACTTCACTTCTCAAGTACTTTAGGATTTCAAATCGTTTTAAACAGCAGCTCATGTCTTCTTGAAAAATCACGTGGGTTATGACCAGTTTGAGGAAGCAACCTCTATTTTCTTGATTGAAACTCAAAAGCAAAAATAGACACCGCACCCAAAACTGTACTGATTTCAACCATGGCATTGCACAAAACAGATTTGGTTTTTTCCTTTTGAAATTTTAATGTTGCTAGAACAGGAAAAGTTTGGCAACAGTTCGATACTCCACAGAAACATACAATGACCAGTCTTTACAATATTATACAAAACGTACAGCAAAAATAAAATTACTTAGAAAACACTTTATATGCAGCTCTCCTCATAAACAAACCCTTGAGCCTAAATATGCACTAAAAAAACCCCAATAATATTCAGAATCTCAAAGTGTTCAATATTTACTTGACTCACTTTGAAGAGAAGTGCTAATCTAACACGGTAACTTTCCATGAAGTTGGAAATTCTAACACTGCCACAGCACAACACTTAAAAATTGGAGAAAAGAAGGCAGAAAACCTTGTGCAGATGTTTCATCCCCCTTTTTGGCGTCTTCGTCTTCTGTGCTTGGGCTTTCGCGTGACGAATTCTCCTGCTGCGAACTGCTGGTTTTCAACAGGGCCGGATCAATTTGCGCTTTCAGGAGCTCAAGGGTCTCAGCAAGCTCATTGCGGTTTCTATGAAAAAAAAAGAAAAAATAACCGTGGTGTCTGATAAAGCCACGCACTCACCCCCAAGGGATTCACAAAAACCAAACAGAGACCATCCACCTGGACGAGCGCTGCGCTGAAAACCTTCCACGCAGGCCCGGTGACACGCCTGTCCCACCGGAATGGCTGCTCCTTCGCAGTCACACTTCCGATTTATCCACACCGATGTGAGGTCGCCCTTCCGGAAGGACCTTCTCTACCTCATCTGGACTCAAGCTGCTACTATTACTCTTTTCCTTACCACCCCCTTACCAATCCTGGCCGATTTTGCTCTGCGAGTTGGTTTTTCTCTGGGCAGAGGAAGTTGGAGTGTTCTCCTCATGCACCAAAGGACAAACCGTGTCGTTCAAGCGCTACTTCCAAAGGCAGTGAAGTAAATTAGATACGTTTTGCCAGAACTCATCCAAAGAACGTGTAGCAAACGCTACAAAGCTGTCCAGAAAACAGCCAAAACAAAGGTTTGTTTAAGCCCGTTTCAGGTTTTAGAACGCGTCACTGCGGTTTTCTGCCGTGAGTGTCAGAACTTTCCCAGCAGAACCCTGATTTCTGCTGCTTTTGGCACTGATCTCCAGCGTACAATACACAGAGAGACAAACACTGCCCAGCTCTCGGCTGCTTTGTTCAGATCCATTCACCAGGACAGGCTGGGTGGAGAG